AAGAATTTGATAGCATCAGAAAAATAATTCTAGAAATGTTTTGAGGTCAGCTATAGATGCCGAAAAATTGCATAAAATTGCACTTTGTTTACTTTATCCGACTGCTATCAAAGCTTTTACAAAAGTCAAAAAAGAAGATAGTGAAAAATTGCCAAAGTTGGACATGGTAAAAGACATGGGTTCCAAATTTCGGCCATTATCTCACTGATCATAAGAGCAAGCCTCACAGGAGTACGACATTTGAAAAGAGAAGGAAAAGCTGCGTCGGACAGTGCCTGAATCGTTTCTCTATCTTCATTCCATATATTTTTGCGATAAGTTTAAAAAACGGAAAGAAATTTCGGAACGACCTAATATTAGGTTGTCGGGTAATTTCTGTTACACTTTTTATCTTAATTCTTAAAAATCTCAGAAGCTTTAAAAGGTTTTCATGTTTACGGCTTATGGGCAGGGTCAAAAGGCCTATGCAAAGGTACCGTCGCTTCCGCGATCCGTGCGCAAAACACCCACTTTGTGGCTGAAAATTCCTTTCTTTCCATTCTTGTAAATGAGCCGGCGTTCTCTCGGGTGATGAGCGATCGACCGGACAATGTGATAATCAGATAGGGCATTTTCTGTAGCGTTCAGCTAATATGGAGGGATGACGCAGATATGTCTGCACACGTTTTTCTGAGCGGTTCAACTCTCAGTGTGCGCCATCATTGCAATCATCGGAATTTTTACGAAGAAAACGTCACAAAAAGTCTTAAAAAATCTTTTTTATGCTTTCTGTATTCATTTCTGAACGATGCATATGAAAAGAAAAATTTAGCGAAGTTTTTGAACTATTTTGATATTTTTTCACCCCTCGTTGAAACGTAAGAGGCACCGGGATGCCTCCATGTGAGAGACAATGCCAAAATACGTTTTGAAAAAAAATTCTGGAAGAGGAAAAGCGCAAGTAGGTGCAGAGAAAAAGATCAGACAAAAACTCAAAAATTTGACTGTTTTTATAAAACTGCCGTAAACTTGTTGGTCATTAGTGCACTTGCGGCGTCAATCATGCTAGTGGGTAGACCCTGCTATGTCCTAAGGGTGTTGCAAATTTGGGGTTTTCAGAAAGCTTCTGGAATTTCCTAGAAATTTTAAAAAAATAGTTTAACAGAAATTATCCGACCTAATATTATATTAGGTCGGTGCAAAAGTTTTGTCAGTTTTTTCAATCCATCGGCGAACACGCTAGAATGAAGATAAACAAACACTTTAGAATGTATCCGATGCAGAATTTCTTCGTCTTCCTAGCTGCTAAACTCTTATTGTGTTTCATTGCGAGATTGACGAGATATTTGCTGGAAATTACAATCACTCGTTTTTACCATGTCTAAATTTCACTAATTTTCAAAATCTTTGTATGAGACTTTCGGAGGGGTCCTAATAAGCCAACTTATGCAATTTTTTGTAGCCCTACGGCTTGCCTTTCAGAATTTTTACGATTTATTTTTTGAGGTGACCAAATTTTGCATTTAGCCTATTTTAACCTCGCAGAACCAAAAATGTTGAACACTTCAGTCACCATTCGATTCAACTTTTTCTCCTCCTTCTAACACTTGCCTTTTTTTGCCCAGACAGGCGAAATTTGAGGGAAAAATCGCAGTATTTCTCAATTTCAGGAATGCGCACTGCCGTAACCTATGTTTCAAAACCTTCTTAATTTGAATCGGAAATCACTCATGTACTTTGTAATGGTAGCGGTAGTAATAATCGAGTGTTGAAATTCAATATTCTGTAGGTTTTGCAGTGTTTTGGTGCAATAACAGGTTATGCGATTTTTCCAAAACACAAGACTTTTAGAAAATTATTTAGCAAAAATCTGCAAAAGCAGCTGAGAAAAAGAAAAAAATTGCATAAGTTGGCAAAAGGTTTGCCCTACCTGGTGGTTATTAGGGCTTCTCCGAAAGTCTCATACAAAAATTTTGAAAATTAGCGAGGTTTGGAAATGGTAAAAACGAGTGGCTGTAATTTCCAGCAAATATCTCGTCACTCTCGCAAAGAAACACAATGAGAGTTTAGCAGCTGGAAAGAAGAAGAAATTCTGCATCGGATACATTTTGAAGTGTTTATTCATCTTCATTCTAGCGTGTTTGACGATGGATTGAAAAAACCGACAAAACTTTTGCACCAACCTAATATAGTGGGTGGAGGACTATATGTCGCCGAATTTGGAAGAGTCCCGCGCGGATTCCCTGCAGGAACGCATGTCCGCGCATGTACAAGGATGCGTATTTGTCGCAAATGACCGCGGGGACCGCCCTTTTTCGGCGACATATAGTCCTCTACCCTAATATAGTGATTAGGTTGTTGCAAAAAATAATGTCCGTTTTGCGAATTTTCAGTTTGGAAGGCTATTACTTCGTTCAGTCTTTCTATTTTTGAATGCAATCAAGACTGCCAGAAACAGCAAACCTTTTTTAATTTAGCGCACACCTGCTCGTACTGATACCGCACACGGGAAGAAAACCATTCGTCAAAAATTGAAAGTTTTTCTTTGAGATCATGTTCTTTAAGAGCTTAGCGTCTTTAAGAGCTCCCTCCAAGTTTTGTTCATATGGCTGGCAATCAGCTTATTTTGTAGCTGCAGGCCATGAGTTTACGTATGTATAGAAAAGACTCCAAAGGAATAGTTCTGCGAGAAGAAAAGATAGAAATTCAAAAATGTCCACTTTTTTGAGTCTATTTGTTGTAGGCTTGTAAGTGCCAAATTATAAAAATTTGAATTCTTGGCGCACTGAATAGCTAAGTTTCTCTCAGATATTGTAGTTAAGGTGTTTTTATCTCAAGCTTACACAAACGGGCGAAGCTTTTGCGATTGCCTTGATTATGGGAAATTTGTGATTCATAGAATGCCAGCAGCGAGTATCTATTTCGAGACGTCAATTTCTCAGTCCAGATATCTCCAAAAGGTAGGTAAGCACGCAGTAGTTAAGCAATCTTCATCTAATACAATTGCTATGTTTTCAGAAGAATTCGTTTATTTGCTCCTGAATTGTGGCCAAGAAAGTGAAAGTTATGAGATTTCATTTTGAGTGCGGATGTGCAAATTGCTGGTGAAATTCTCACAGATGAGGGAAGCAGCTTAATTCCACCATGATTAGAAAGTACATGAAGAGAGCTTTTCAATGATTTGCAGATTCTATATCGTAAAAGAAAGTTTGATCGAAAAAGGTTGTTTGGAATATAGGCCTAGAAAAACGGACATTATTTTTGCAACAACCTAATACTATACTGCTCATATTTTTTGAAATGACGCCATGCTTAATGTTTTTAAATTAAACTACAGAAACAAGGATTCTGCTTGCAAGTGCTTTTTCACTATTTGAACTTGTATTTATATTTCTTACTCCGCACAAATCGTTAGTTTTTTTCTAAGCTATCGCTTCATTCCAATGACACGGACAAAGGGGGAGGAGGAGGAGGATGAGGAGGAGGAGGGGGGGGTCTTATGCCAGCGATGCTTTTCTAATTCATAGAACTTTGCAAAAAAAATGTCTGATCCAGCTGAGTTAGTATGTAAGTAAGCCTTCCGAGGTCAGTAGGTCTTTATTAGTGGCGGCTTAACGTTTCGAACAAGTCGTCTTCTTCAGAGGCCTAAAGTGGTAGGTGATTTTGATTATGTGTCTAACCCACCAAAATCCTCCACCAATCCCCGACCAGCCTCGATTTTGCCCCAGAATATCACAAGAAAAAGTCCCAAACGTGAAAGACGAACTGGCCTCCTCCACCGTCGGCGCGCGGATTTTAGGGCGGCCGTCCTTCGATGCCACTAGTATCAATAATGGAATACCTGTATACCATATATGGACTAATCACTAGTGGCCTTCAACTCGCATAACGTCACAAAAGGCATAAAGTCATTTGTAATTGACATACACTCATTTCGGCTGTTCATGCATGGGTTTCTCGCGTAAATCCAGAATGCCTCGAGAGCTTTCCTTACAGCAGTGTCGTACTCGTATGCCAGTATAGTGCACTTAATCTCAAAGTCGTTACCACCATGACATTCAACTCTATGTCTACCAGGAGGAGTGGTAAGACTTTCCTTCTTCTTAGTGGCAAGATGTTCTTTTACGCTTATACCCCACGGTCTCCCAGTCTCCCCGATATAAGTGGCGCTGCATTCAATGCATTCGATCTCATAGATTACACCAGCCTTACCGCAGTCGCCAACTCTACCGGATGGACAAACTACACAGCATTGGACCCTGCAATAGTTGTCATAGAGTCTATTATGTACTAGCCGCTTCCTGATGTTGTCACTTGGAATGCCAATTAAAATGACATCGTCTTTCAAATTCGCGCGGTTAATGCAACGTCGTACTCGTACGACACTGCTGTAAGGAAAGCTCTCGAGGCATTCTGGATTTACGCGAGAAACCCATGCATGAACAGCCGAAATGAGTGTATGTCAATTACAAATGACTTTATGCCTTTTGTGACGTTATGCGAGTTGAAGGCCACTAGTGATTAGTCCATATATGGTATACAGTGTATTCCATTATTGATACTAGTGGCATCGAAGGACGGCCGCCCTAACATCCGCGCGCCGACGGTGGAGGAGGTCAGTTCGTCTTTCACGTTTGGGATTTTTTCTTGTGATATTCTGGGGCAAAATCGAGGCTGGTCGGGGACTGGTGGAGGATTTTGGTGGTAGACACATAATCAAAATCTCCTACCACTCTAGGCCTCTGAAGAAGACGACTTGTTCGAAACGTTAGGCCGCCACTAATAAAGACCTACTAACCTCGGAAGGCTTACTTACATACTAACTCAACATACTAACAATGCCGAGGTTCAAGAAAGAGGAAACTTGGAAATCTGATCCAGCTGCTTCTTGCCTTGTACTTCAAAACTACAGTCATTCAGGTCTTCTAATATAATCATGCATGACCATCAAGCACCCTCTCTTCTGTTGAAATGGCCATTTTCTCCCTTCAAATTAGTACATAACGTCAGTAAATCACCTTTATTAATATAAACAATAAATAGCTAATAAAACACAATGGATGACTTATCCCTTCTTGAAAGCGGGGTTCTTGTCAAGGTGTTCCTTGAAGCAATCTCTGATCTCATTGAAAGATTCAGTACAGAAGAGATAGTCGAGGTAGTTGGTTGGAACTCCATCATGGGCAGAGCAATACTCGAGGCACTTTCCTTCAACACCCTTTGCCTAGAAAATTCAAAATTCGAGTTTTCAAAAACTACGTAGGAGGGAAACAACGTTCTCAATCTAAAAAATTATTGAAAAAGGGGGAGATAAGGGAGGGACAAACCTTGCAGCATTCGGTATGATCGTGACGAAGAGACACGCAATCCCACATGTTTCCAAGGGTAGGTCCACGATCAGAGCATTTGGAGAGGAAACTTAGAATCTAGAAAAATGGGTTAAATAAAAACTTTTATTTGTGTTTTTATGCTTTATAAGGGAAATAAGACATTCTATCAAGCGTGACTCGTTTGTCGCCAAATTTTGAAATACTCATAAACTAGAAATGTTCAAAGACTTCCAAAACAAAGAGTTCTAGAGTTATTTTTGGGCTTTTATCTCGTTCAGTGATGCTGCTAAGTCTCGGTGATTCCTCCTTAGTCACTAAAAATTTTTTTGAATGTTGAAAATATTGGACTACGACGAGGCAAAAAAAAGCAAATTTGAGCTTGTTGTTGCCTTTTCTTTCTCACTCCGTTGTGATAATGTTCTTTATATCTTCGATTTACATTTGTAAGCAAGCGCATTGTTTAGACAATGTTATATTTGGTAAAAAGAGACAAATAAATTGAACTTACGTTTGTCTGTGAAATTGCGTTGAAGTCGCAGAATTTTTCGACACACTCTTTGTCAGCTTCCTTCAAAGTAGAACAGCATTGCTTCAATTTCTCATTTGGCGTTTTGCCAAGAACTGCTACCACTGCTATACAGAGCACACCTAGTCGAAGCATTTCTGGAATAGAAGCAGATTATAGTTTGGGAAAATCTATAACCAAAAGGATGAGCGAAAGGGCGAGTGATCTGGATTGGTATAGAGGAGGTGGGGACGAGGTGATAAGGAAGGGGTTTCTATCTGGGTCATGTCACCGTTGAATAATGAATGGTCTGCGCAGAATAGCAATTGGTCATCGGGAACTAATGGCTATCTTGATTATATGATACGAATAGGTTTTTGGGTAGACAGTGCCAGGAACGAATTTTACTTTTCTTTGGGGAAAAAAGGGAAAAAATTGGTTGAAAGTGAGTGAGTTTTTACAGCTTCGATGGCTGCATAAAGTTATTTACGTCTAAAAGTTGGCGAAAGTGTTCCTCTACATAAGACAGGGAATCTAAACTAACAAAGAATTTGCCTTAATGGTAAATAAACTCTATAAAATGTCAAAAAAAGTTCTTGGAAAGGCACAAGACCACAGCAGACCGAAAGCGCAGTGCAACTCCTAAATGCATCAAATCATAGGTTTAAATATCCGTCGTTGGTCTAGATTTCTTGAGAAACGGTGCACCGTGAACCGTAAAATGGATCGAATATATAGGAAACTCGTAAGCGATCAGGATCTTTCCAACTATGGCTACCGAGAAAAAACATATCACGACGCTTAGTATCTAAATGACGAATTGAATTGTCTGTGGCTAGGCTTAGACATTTTGCGAAAAAAATAGCGAAACAATCATTTATCTGCAACAAAGTATGCGAAAAGGAGCTTCTAAATATGTGTGCTGAATCTTCATAAAAGGAAATCCATCCTTAGCTAAAGTAAGGGAAAGTAGCGCTAGTTGAAATATTGATAAATAAATATAAATAGACGAATGAGATTTTCATGGTTCTGAAAAGGATTTACATATCCTTTTTTTCCTTCTCAGAACCACAAATGCGATAGCCACTAATGAGTTTCAATGACCGCTCTTCTGGAATATTTATCGCTTTACACTGCCATACCGAGCAATTCCAAGCTTTGACTGGGGCTAATTTACGACCTCATAACCGCTCGATTTGAAAAAAAAATCAGATCTGTTGTTTTGAATCACAGGCCCACAGTGATTTAATGCTAATCCATCTGACAATTCCTTCAGAATCGAACTATTAAGGCGACTTTGAGTTTTTATCGTTTTTATCTTAGACATCAGCATTTCTCGAGAACTGGGGCAGCTACAAAAGGTACAAATACAAGATCGTACTTCAGTATGTATGAGCTATATGATCACGTGTGTGGGATAAGCTCAGGACTTCTAGGGGCGGAGTTTGCCATTTTAGTCAATTTTTTTCTTTATTTCTAGCCATGGAAAAAATACTGGAAGTGTACATTTGAATGTTCGATGTGTTAAGCATATGCTAGGACAAATGGGGAATTTTGTAGATTTTTGGGGTCGAGGTACGGTTTTTTACAGTAAAGTTCGTTTTTGACTGCTATCCTATTTAAGCTCAAAAGTTTACGTGGAATACGAATTGGGCAGACTATTTATCAATGGCTCACTTGCTCTGCTCTGCCGAATGGTTACTTAAGCCACATCAATTGAAAGAAAGATACAAAAAGACGACGATTGCAAAGAAAAAACGGAAAAAAATTAAGAGACACCCTAGGCAGCAAGATCGAGTTCAAATGCTGTGATTTCAGTCTGAATTTCTTTTATCACACGACTACAAAATTTCACCTGATGAACGGTAACCAACTCTACTGTGGACAACCAATCACGGACAAGGTTAAAAGTAGTAACGAGCGTGAAAATTGCTATTGCTTCAATTTGAGTCAAGTACGGTTCTAATTAGAATTATTTCATCAGTAACAATCAAACATGCTAAATTCTCATTCCTCCTATAATTACAACTGAGTGAACTGAAAACGCTGTAAGGCAAATAAAAAAACTTGGGCATTTTATGTGGAAAATAAAATAATTTGAATTAAATCATTGCCCTAGCGAAAGCACATATGATTCGAATTTCTCGATCATAATCAAATTGTTTGAGGTGTCGTTTAGGTCTTGTCCAGGATCACACACTTTTTTTTCAATTTTTAACGAATCATAAGGTACTCAAATTCGCTTTGACACTGCCATTGAGCTATATTCTCCTTCCTGATGAAAGCAGAGATGATTTTTTGCTCGAAAATGAAAGCAATCGAAAGTGTTTGAGTTATAATGTAAGTCGCTTCAAACCAAAAAATCGCCACTTACATTGCAATACTCACACTGGCTGGTTGGCTGGAAAATAAGTTCGTTTTTGCATGAAAATTTCATTCAAGAAATTTTCTTGTTATTTTCTACATAGATTCTTTGTAGAAAAGTAGCCTAAAGCTTCCTCTATCACACATCAGATATTCAGGATTTTCTATCATCAGTAAAGACAGTTATGCCTCAGCATGGCTAAATTTCCAAAAGCTCAATTCTTTTACTAGTAGATAGGGAAACAATAGTCTTTGGTATTTGGATACAAAAGAGATTTCCCCATTTGGTAAATAACAATAAAAATTGTGATCTGCCACTTTGAAAAGGTTTTAAAAAAAATTCGTCATCTTTGCTGCGCAGTATGAGAAAATTGAGGTTTTCCACTTCTACTCGGATTTTTTTCTTTGGAAGATAAGTTCTGTTAAAGAGGATTTACATTTCAATGCCCATTGAAGTGCAATTCATTTCCAATACCCATTCTTTCTAGGAATACCAAACAGTGAAGACAAATTTGTCTACAGCATTCGTAAGAGCTGCAAAAGCGACCGAACTTATTTATTAGCCAACCTATACTGGTAACCAGTAGTCTAGTATTTGTCTCCAAGACACAGTTGCGAACCTTCATCGATATTGTCAAGAGCTCCTTTGATTAATCATGGGCATTAGATTTCATAGGTCTTGTAAATGTTGTGATGATCACAAGCGCTAATCGAAGCTTGTTTTGTACAATATATGAAGACCACATTGTTTTTATCATTTATTCTGACTAAGAGACGCGAGCACGCTTTGCGTACATTTGATCAACAAATTCATGAATGAGTTCTAACTCGTTTTGATTAATCAATATTACAGATTCGTGAGAGAACGTGTTCAAGCCAGCGTGGTTCAACACGCTCAAACGTGTTCTTCCACGAATTCTAGTAAAAAAATCAACCAAAATGCGTTAAAACTCATTCATGAACTTGTTAATGGAATGTACGCAAAGCGTGCTCGCGTCTCCTGGCCAGAGAATGAATGATACGTTTATGCTGTTCAAAATCATGACTTATTTATAACCCGCTTAACATGGAGCTGTGTGGAGTTTGTCCGTTACGAAATTACAGTGAGGAATTACAATACTTCAAGCATGTTTTATCATTTTTAACTAGGGGTCACTCGCTTCAGGTAATTTGGAATGATATGAGAAACAAGCTATCAGAGCGCAAGTTTACCCCAGCACTTTCCATGATGAACAGTAATTTTATTAATTTCGTTTGCCTTAGGTAAAGATTATTTGGGTAATATCATTTTTTGGTAGATGGATTTGCATTTGGTGTATGTAGTTCTTTTCATTTTTAGGCTTAAAACATTTACGAGGCCAAATATTGTACAAATACGATCATCACAATGTTTGCACTATCTGTTCATAGATTTTATATTTGTAGATCCTGTTCGGAATATCATACACACACCCTATTAAAATTTATTCAAAATATGATCATTCCAACGCTCTTCTGTAACGCCTTATCTTATGAATTCATAGTATAGAGTTGATAAAATTATGAAAAAACAAAAGCATTGACCATTCTGTGGGAGTGCTTGAGAGATTTTGGCAAAGCCATCTTGTATAAATCATTTTCGCTGTGAGACACAACTATGATTTCAGCCTAGACCATACAACTGGACTTCAGTTCAGACCATACGCGTTCAATGTGGATCAAAGTATTGGACGAGGTTCAGAGTTAAATTATTGGGCCACGAATGGATCATATCGAATGGCATACGAGCTTTCGCCCGGTCTATGCTTAATTGAGGATCATTGAGTATTTAGCTGAAATTTTCAGGTACCGACTTTGTCTTGACATTTTCTTTGGCCCAGGTTAACTTTATGATTTTGAGATAGATTTGTGAACTATCCAATGCAACCATGTGGATCAGATCGAATGCAAGGACTACGAAAAGTGCAACCTGATCAGGATCTTATTGTTAGATGACTCACTTCGTTTCCTGCAATTTTTCGCTATTTAGATAGAGAATATGAATGAAAACTCATTTGTAAGATCTATAGTGCTAATTATGCTCACTCGAACCCTTGGGAGAGCGCATTACAAATAGTTCATCAAATGGCTAATTTACTGATGGTAAATAGATAGGCTGCAGTATTTCGTTTATTTAAGCTTTTCTTAGGCCCTATGGCCTTTGACCACATATTTTTTATTATAGTGCAAACGCAATAAACTCATTTGAAAAATATTCTCATGCGCTCTACCTTCCCACTGTTAAGGTTAAGAATCTCAAGCAATATTTATCCCCAAAGATTGCGCATTTATAAGCAAATAAAAGATATTCTTGGGATTATTGTGAATGCTGTATCAAAGTAAATCCAGTAAATAGATGCACCAAACATTGTCACTGTACCAGACTAATCGAAATTGATCTCAAAGCATAGTAGACAAGCTATTAGGATTTTTTGGGGTGTATGTCAAAAGGCGGTACCCCAAATGGACACCAAATAGCGCTTTTTTAGGATTTTATGATGCCTAGGAGCATTACAAATTTCTGATAAGATAACCTTTGATTCAACCGGATTGGCGGTTGGAAGGCGGGGCTTTGTGACCTAATTGAGGTCGTTCGCGCCCGCGACGCAATCTGCGTCCTCTTGCGCGCGTGCTCTGACCATGCTCTTACCTTAACTAGGTCACGAAGCCCCGCCTTCCAGCCGCCAATCCAGTTGAATTAAAGGATATGTATGATCGTCCCTTGGGTTGCTCTTCTGAAACTGATTCAAAAGACAAGTGTTTGGGGAGGGGGTCAAA